CTCCCCCGGTGACCCACTTCCAACCAGGTGCTGCCTCCTGACAGCACAGTCCGCTGCAGAACTCATGAACGGATGAGTCCCTGATAAGTCCGATGCCCCTATGACTCAGTCACCTTCCGCACACATCAGGGACATTTCAGCTCTAAACCGTAACACTGTTATCGACCTGGATTTTTATTCTTAGAGGGTCAGGTCAGCCCTGCATGCCTGGACAATCCACAGAAATTCAGGATTAACATATAGAATCTTGCTATGAAAACCCAACCTTTTTCCAGACATCAGTGTGTGGTTGGATCATGCTTGGAGGATGGATGGGGGGGAGCTTGTGTTTGGAATAAACGCTTTGACAGACATCACCAAAGCCACTTTTACAAGTTGGAAAACATATGCTTCCACCCAGGTTTCCCCTTTCTGTGGTGCCCCACACAGCCTCAGTCAGATGTCCTCAGCCACAGCCCTGAACTCGTGTGCTGGCCAGCAGGTTCACAAGATTCCAGGGAGCACCTGTCCTTTACTGTGCAGTCAACTGAGCAGATCCAACCCATTCAGAGTCTGGGGAGTGCAGGGACATGGATTGGCTTTTCTGGTCTGTTCCACCTGTCCCAGTGTTCCCAGCATGGGCTTAGGTCTCTGCCAGAGACTCTGGGTGGGACCCTGTGGTGCGATTCAAGCGCTACTTGTTTCTGCCTCCAAGTGTTTTCTTTCCCACCTTCATCACAGTGTCCATTCATTCTCTGCACATTGTTTTGCCTCACCTTGGGGAGAGGAAGAGCCCGGGGCTAGAGTTATGGCACTTTGAGCCTTATAAGTTGATGTCATTCTGAGGATGGAGAACCTACAACACAGTCAGACCCTGTGGGCCACACTGAAATGTAGCTTGCAAATTTCATGATGAAAATGTGTCTAATCCTACTCTCCTCCTACCTTGAGTCCCATGGTGAAAGATACTCCTCTGTTACTTGATTCCTCCATCCTGGTAGGTGTCATTTCTGCTGCCCACTCCAGAGCAGGACTTGATATTTCAGTCCAGAGGGGACCAGAGGGAGGAAAAGCATCAACATATGTAGTACGCTGCCTCCCAGACGTGGGCTCTTCTATAACGTTAACTGCTATCTCCAGGTGGTGAGCCAAAGGAGAGCTTAATTAAAATCAGGTGGGAAATGTATAAACGGAACATTAAAAATAAAACTGTACAGGACTGACATCACCCACACCCACCCCTCGGGAGATGACAGCGGGGATCTGCGCCTCATGATCCTCCTCCCAGTGGCATTAGGTGGGCTCCTCTGTCCCCTGTCCTCTACCAAATGGCGAATCCCACTGAGACTCTGTACACATTGAGGGCCCAAGACATGGCAGGCACATCACAACTGGGCCTGAATCTGCTTGTACAGACGGCCCGGGCCGTATACCAACGTCCTCTGTGTCTCAGTGTGAGGTGGCTGAGCAACCATGTGGAGTTGGGAAAGATGAAACAGGATGGGAATAAAGGTACAGATGACAATCCTCGCTGCCCCTGACACTTAAGGCAGTTGCTTCAAGCAGTAGGAGAAGCAAGGCTGTGGGACCTTGATGGGTGGCTCACCTGGGCCTTACTTTCTTCCTCGGTAGGAAGGGTATCCAAACGCCTACCACATACAGTGGGTGACAGTAAAAAAGAGTGACAGCTATCATTGATTGAGCATGACTGCTAGTCAAGCTTTTCTTGAAAGTGTTCACACTATGAAGAAGGGACTATGACTATCTCTGTTTTTTCAGGTGAGGAAAGAGATCAGAGAAATTTAGTGAATTTGACAGAGTCACACAGCTAGAAATAGTGGAGCAAGCTGGCCTGACAGGCTGTAAAATTTGTGCCGTCAGTAAATCAAGCATCTCAGTGTAAGTATCTAGGGAGACAAGGGAGCTTGTCTGAAAGTGTGAAAGAGATACTGTGATGAGATGGGAGATGATGTTAGAGCACACGAGATGTTTGGGGAGACCCCGAGGAAGAATTAAGCAGCTTTGGATCATGGGGTTCGAGAATTATTTACTTTTCTGCTGTCTTTCAGCGTCTGTCATTATGACAAGATAAAGCCTTGGTTAGGTGCCAGGTGCCTTTCCCTCCACACTACTATTTATTCACACTTTCCTTTGAAGCAAAAAGATAGCAGGTACCAGAGGCTTCCACAGATTTTGACATCTAGCTAGTCTGCAATAAAAAATTGCCGCTGCTGTACTCACTTTCACGGCCCTCTTGTGGAAAAGTGATTCTGGTTTTGTATTGACAGCAGGAATGTAAAGTTTTCTCTCTTAAAGCACATTTACGGAATTATAAAGAATCAGTCCGTGCTCAGTGCTTTTGAGGAGATAAGTAGAGGTGGCTTTAGGTGTGGCAGAGGTGGGGAAGGCTGAGTGACTGATGCTAAGAGGAGGCCATCTGCAGAAGTTCTCAGCTGATGCAGCCCACGGTTCAGACTCAGTGAAAGTCAGAGTCGGAAGGACCAAAGCAGGCAACTCTCAGTCCCAGTCTTGTAGGAGGATGAAAGAAATGAGCCATTTGTAAACTGAACGTGACAGTCTTTCCTCTGACATCGTGGGATGAATTTAGCTTGCTCTGCAAGGTGCCGGATAAAGCGAGGGGGTGAGAATGTGAAGTTCAATGAACTTCAGGTATCTTCACTGAACCATAGAAGCTGTAGTGGTCGCTTTCCTATTGCTAGAATACAATGACTGACACGATCATCTTAAAGGAGAACTGTATTTTGAGTTACCGTTTTAATCCAAAACTGGCTGTTCCAAGGCATAGATGGCATGGTAGAAGGGCATGGCAGAGGAAGGGTGCTCATGTCCCGGCAGTCAGGAAGCAGAGGGAGAAGGGAGAATGTGGGGACAAGAATACACCCTTCTAGGTCACATCTCCAGTAGCCTGCCTACTACTATGTACACTTAGCTCTGCAGTTATCAGTGGATGAAACCACGGATGAGTAGAGTGTCCCCAAGACCTTTCAATACATGAGACTTTCAGGGACACTTAAATTTGTGCCGTTACAGAAGCTGATTGCTGTGGCCGGAATTTGATCTCAGTGTTGGAGCCTGCACTAGTAACGTGAGGCTGCCGATAGGAAGGGACTTTCCTGGGTCACCCTGGGTTAGAACAACTGTAATATGACTACTACTTTCTCTGTTTCCTGCCCAGCTCCACCATCACTAGTCTTTTTCCACAACAGTAAGCAGATCTGTTTTGGCTCCTGGTGAATGAAATCCAGAGAGCCCAGGGGCAGATCTCCCAGTCTATAGATGCTCTCCAAGTCCCCAGTGTTGCACAAGGCACTGTGAGCTACAGGGACACTGCACAAAGGGAGGGAAGTAAATAATTGTCTCCAAACTCCTGGAGCTGACAGGATGTCTGATTTTGCCTTCAGAAGAGTGTCATTTGGGAGGTGAGAACCCTGGGTCTATTATTACAGGATCAGTTAAGAAGGTCCCGAGTGTTAGAGATCTAGATCAGTGGTTCTACCACCTTCCTCACAAGAGCAAAGTCCTGAATTTGATCCCCAGTTTTAAAAAAAACCCAAAACCCCAGCAAAACAACAACAAAACGCCCAGCACAACAACAGAAAAACATTTTAAAAAGGAGGGGGGGAGGGGAGGAGGAGGAAGAGGAAGAGGAAGAGGAGGAGAGGAGGTCCCTAGGAGTGAGAAGCCCTGTGTTAGCTTTCACCAGGTTATGCTGCAGTAACAACTACTCCCAAACATCAGTGGCTTCCAACAACAAAAGTTTGTTTCTTGTGACTGTTACATGCTGGTTGTAAGCCAGCTGCAGGTTTCTCCAGCCTCCTTCCACTGGGAACCAGGATAAAGAAGCACCCTCTATAAACGTAGGTGCGCATATATCATTGTGATAGGATTCTTTTAATTCTTTTGGAAAGATACCCAGCAGAGGGATGGCTGGGTCAAATGGAGCCTCTAGTCCCAGCTCTTTGAGGTATCTCCATATTGATTTCCATAGTGGTTGCACCAGTCTGCACTCCCACCAACAATGGAGAAGGGTTCCTTTCTCCCCACAATCCTGCCAACATTTGTTATTGTGTGATTTCTTGATAGCAGCCATTCTTTGTGGGGTGAGGTGGAATCTCAGTGTTGTTTTCATCTGCATCTCTCGAATGACCAGTGATGTGGAACATTTTTTCATATATTTACTTGCAGCTTTTACTTCTTTGTCTGAAGAATGTCTGTTTATTTCAGATGCCCATTTTTGAATCAGGTCCTTATATTTGCTCATCAGTTGGACTGGACAAAGAAGATGTGGTTTTTCTATAAAGTGGAATACTACTCAGCCATAAAGAAGGAGAAATTAGATTCATTCATAGGAAAATGGATACATATTGAGGATATACTCCTAAATGAAATAAAAAGTCACACATGTGTAAATACTGAATGGTTTATCTGGTGTGAATAAACTATAATAGTACATAAGATCCTAATGAGATAATTGACAATGTGAAATAGGAAGAAAAGGTCTAAAAGTGTAGGAAAAGTGGGAAGGGTAGGGGAAAGGTAATAAGGGAAAGGAAAAAAAATAGGAGAAAATAAAAAAAGGGAAATAAAATGTTTGTAAATGGGGAGGAGAGGAGAAGGTAAAGGGAGGGCAGGGATAAGGGGAAAAAATGAGAACCAAGACCTGTGATGTAAAGGTACAAGACCCCAATGATGAATATAACTGTACTGCATACCTAAAATGTACCAATAAACTCAATGAGAATAAAAAATGCATTAGAGGGCCAGGGATTTGGCTCAGTGTTTCCACTGCCTGCCTTGCAAGCAAGAGGACCTGAGTTCGATCCCCAGAACCAATAAATAAATAAAGCATTAGAAATCTGCTCCCATTCAAAAATACAAATAAAAATTTTCCTTTGTAGCAGAGGAAAAAAGAGCAGTGACAGAAACTTGGGAAATGTTCTTAGTGCTTCCCCTCAGAGGTGTCAGGTATGATTTCTGGTCTGTTTCTGTTTGGCTTCTAGGAAAAGGTTCTAGGACAAGGATTCAAGCTCTTTTAGGTCATTGGGAGGTGCAGGAAACACCAGCAGGGAAGTGGAGAAATGGATGAATCAAGGCTGCCAGGAGAAGGTGGGTTTGCAACCCGGCTACCACTGTGGGCGACTTGAGTCTCATCTCATTCCCCAAGGGGAAGTTCTGGAAAACAGGCACATTGTATGCCGCAGAGTTATTTCCCCCAGAAATGAACCATGGAAGCTGAGTGCTGGGATAGAACCTGATCTCAGGATTGGAGGCTGCATTAGAAACCCGAGACTCCAGATGGGAACTTCCTCCGGGTTACAGGGTTACGTGGCTTAGAGCAACTGTGGTGCGACCACTACTATCTCCATTTCCAGCCTAGCTCCACCATCGTGGCTCATGGTTCTGTGGGACGAGCAAAACTATCACTCACTGGTGAGGGCACCTCCTGGGAGGGTTGATTTCCCAGTGCTCCTGGCCCGTGTGGCACAGGCAAAGTAACTTTCTAGCTTCTGAGAGAGGCTCTAGACAAAGAGGTGGACACTAGGAAGTGAACATTGGCCCCAGCAAATTGGAGGCGGAGAGTTGTGGCTGAGGCGGGAAAGTGTGAGACCTGCCCAACATTTCCTTGGCCAAAGGAGCCGGCACCAGGGTTGGGGAAGCGTGAGCCTTGCGCGGGGTGCAGCCAATACTGGGACCCAAGCTCAGTTTTTGCGGCAGGATCTGAGCCCAGATGTATGAAGTCCAGAGTGGGTGAAGCTTCACTCAGCGCTGTGTGGAGCGGACTCTCTCGACCTTGGCACTGCTGATGCTTGGGGCTGGGGGACTCTTTGCTGGGGCTCCTGTCCTGCGCACTGTGGGTACATGGCACCATCCTGGCCTCTGCCCATTAGATCTCTATGGCTTTGCCCTTCTCTATTTTCTATTTGTGACAAGCAGAATGTCCCCCGACATTGCCAAGTGTCGGAGGTGGATAGTCCTTCCAGAGCACTTGTTATAAAAGTTATTGCCAATTTCCAAGGAATTGGAATAATTGTATTCTCAATTTATTGTAAATAAATTAGAGGGGTCACAGCCTAATGGGAGAGACAGATATATAAAGTGTACAGTGGTATTTTGGCTCACCAGCTCTTTCTCTTCACTATTCTAGTTGCAAACTGGACAAGAGCTGAATTAAATTTCCCCACGAGGTCAACATTGAACCTAACCATTGAATTTTATTCCGTTCTCATCCAACTTGGTGTCTGACCCAAAACAGCGATTTGAAATACTGTGTGTTATATCTTCATAATGGGGTACTACTTAGTCGTAAAGAATGATAAAATTTGAGTCGTTTGTCGGAAAACTGATGCACAGTGAGACCATAATGCTAAGGGAAATAAATCAGGCACAAAAGGTGAAATAGCACATGATTTCTCTTATAGGAGAATCCCCACGTATAAATAATTTAAAGAGCAAAATAAAAAATGGATGATAGGAAACAGGTAGACAACATACAGATGGAAAGTGGCTGTGGGCATGAAGGGAGAGGAAGGGGAAGTGAAAAGAATCAAGGTGTGATTCGTACATGCAGCAGTTCCCCATGATGAATGTTATATATCACAAACACATACTAATAAAAAGGGGGAAATAAATAGAAGAGTCTCTTGAAATATGTTCCTAATGAAACATTCAGGAGTGGGGAACATCAGTTCTCTTAAAGGCTGGGGTGGTCAGGCAAGGTTTTACAGTAGCAGGTACAGTTGGACTAGGCTTTGAAGGATGAAGAGGAGTTTTCCAGAGGAGTAATACCACAGAAAGGCCAATTGTGGGGCTGTAGCTAGACCAGCTTTCCATGTGATGGGTAATATGAAAGGAGCAGTCAAGAGCTTGGGAGGTGCTTAGAGGACTCACCCAAAGTCATGATACAGCCAGCCTCAGAGAGCAGAAATGCCCTTCGTCTATTATACTTAGCTAAAAGACACGGCCAGTTAGTCCTGCAGCCTCCTCAGTGTCGGATCCTGTTCCTTCCCTTTGGTGACTGCCACCTAATTTGGGCAAGAAAAACTGCATAGGGTTTCGTTGGTTCCCAGTGCTCCGCTGGTGAGGCTCTGCCCAGCGGCTCTGACAGCACTCAGCGGGCAGAGGAGGCTGTGCGTTCATGGGGCCTGGTCCCGCCCCGCTGTGCCGCCCACCAGGCTTGGACCCGGGCTCTCTCGTCTGTAGAGCAGGTGGGAGACTCACCTCTTGGGGCTGCCCCAGGACGGCGGCGTCGCATAGTCTGTCGGCTCGGGCCCTGCCCCTCCACGCGTAGGGAGACAGGACTGGGCTCCTGCCAGCTGCCGTGACCATGGTGACGGCCAACTTGCATTAGGTGCACCTGGCGTCCCGGGCTCTGTGTATTTTCACCAATGACCGTAAGGCGCATTCACATTTGCTCCATTTTCAAATGCAGTAACAGGCAGAGGAGTAGTCCCCTGCCTCGAGTGTGGTCAGTGATTGGTGTGGAGACTCCCAGCACCGGTCAGGAGTAATCACTGCCCAGTTGTGCCCTCCTCAGGGCCCCGCCTCCACGCGTAGGGAGACAGGACTGGGCTCCTGCCAGCTGCCGTGACCATGGTGACGGCCAACTTGCATTAGGTGCACCTGGCGTCCCGGGCTCTGTGTATTTTCACCAATGACCGTAAGGCGCATTCACATTTGCTCCATTTTCAAATGCAGTAACAGGCAGAGGAGTAGTCCCCTGCCTCGAGTGTGGTCAGTGATTGGTGTGGAGACTCCCAGCACCGGTCAGGAGTAATCACTGCCCAGTTGTGCCCTCCTCCATATTTCCCCATAACCCTACTTAAAAGGAAAAGAACAGGACAGAGATTTAGAGATTTACTAATGCTAACCCATCAGGACCCTTGTAGCTCCTACCAGACAAACGAACTTTTCCCACCTGCTCCATGAAAGTATTTAAGATGCTTGCAGCACTGGAAAAAGGTCGGTGAGCAGAGATGCGTCTTTGACCGCAGTTTCAGAGTTGGCTTCTGAGAATCTCCTGGGGTCCATGATGCAAGTCACCGCCAGACTGGCAGAAAGGTCTGATAGTGACACAGAGGGAAACTCTCAGTTGCTCAACTGTCCCTGCAGCCCCCACCCTGGTGTCACCCTCAAGGTTTGAAAATAAAATGCGGAGGAAGAAAGGGTTTTCTTGCAAGCCTTGGCCACCACCCCCAGAAGCAGCAGGAGTCTCTTCTGTCCCACTGTGGCAGGGACACAGATGGTGTGCTCGGTGCTCCCAGAACTTCTCTCTCCCACCATGGACAGAGTGGCAGCGAGGAAAAGCCCACAGGGTCCTGGTTGCAGAGGCCACCATCCTCCTGCCTGGCCCAGAGCCTGGCCACTTGCTGCTGTCATCTTGAATGGTCGGCCGCCTGCCTGGGACCATAAGGTACAGCAGTGCAGTGCGGCCACAGAGCTGGCCTGGCCTGGAATGGGAAGGAATCAGCAGGCGACAGGTCTGATTGTCCTGTTGTCCCATCAGCACCTGTGGTGCCCCAGCGCCGAGGCCCCATGTGTTCCAGGCAAGTGACTCTCTCTCTCTCCCTTCCCTCCCTCTCTCTCTCTCTCTCTCTCTCTCTCTCTCTCTCTCTCTCTCTCTGCCTCGTCAGAGATTCTGCATGAAGGTTTGCTGGAGGCACCTGGCTGTCTGTCTGTTTTTCTGTTTGTCACTTCTGCAGCTGGCCAGATGTGTTGGAGATGTCCCTGGAGACCCTGCATCCTAGAAACCCACAGGTCAATGGGGTCAAAGAGATGCCTCTAGTCCTCAATCTCAAATGTGTCTGAAGCTGTGGGGTGAGCTCCCTGTTTTATGAATTATGAAATCCTTTGGCAACACAGAAGAGGCAGTGTAGCGGCTTTGCAATGATCAGCCAGCCCCTGTCCTTCCCTCCTTTCTCATTGCCAGGCAGCAGGCTGCTGTCGCCTCCTACTCAGATACACACGGTCCGGAGCAACCCAGCAACCCTTTCTGAGACAGAACGTTGACGTTGCTTAGCCTGGGCTCAAGCCAAGCTGGGCTAAATGATTAACTGGCTATTTTTTCCACCTGGCATCTCAGAGATGGTAGGGCTTTCTGAGCCAAGCCAGCATCCAGCCCTCCACTTTCCATCTGTGCTCATATATTCAGGCCACAACTCCCCTCTCCAGGCAGCAGAGCCCTCCAGTGTGGTACAGTGGGCGATGATCACCTAGACAGGCTCCGGGGTCTGACTTCAAAGGTCTGCTGTTGACTGCTGTGTGAGCTTGGGCTCAACTTCTCTGTGCCTTCTCCTTGTCCACAAGTGGGAATAATAGCAGTGCCTACTTCATAAGGTTGTGGAAAGATTTAAGCAAACCGAGTATGTCTGAGGCACTTGGAATGTGTCTGGCACACTGTAAGTCTTCAGTGAAGACTCCCTAGTCCCAATATCTCATAGGACAAGTGGTGGGAGAAGAGGGTGTAATGCTGTATCTAGAAGTTGAATGCAGTCAGATCGGTTAAGGAGATAGGATGCCAGAAAGTCCAGTTTGCTGTGGCTTTGCCATCGTTCCCATGGAGACTCTCAATAACAAAATTGTTCAAAGGACATTGAGTGCTCACAAAGACAGTGTCTGTTTCACCCAAGAAATATTCCTGTGAATAAATAAATACTGATGACGATAATAATAGTTACCATGTGTCGTGTGCTGTGTTCCAGCCATGTTCACATATATTCATTGATTTAATTTTCATACTGATCTTATGCGTTATTATCATAGCAATCTTTTTCTTTTTCCTTATTATCATTATTTCCTGTGCTCCTGGGAATTGAATCCAGGACCCTGACCACTGAGCTACATCCCAAGCCTTCATCCTCTCTTTTATAAGTGAAGTTTTGAGGCTCAGCATTGTTAGGGAGTGTGCCCAAGGTCGCACAGCTCACAAAGGTGGAAGTAGGGTTTAAGTCTCAGGTTGAGCGCTGAGAGATGCCTGCACGTGCTCCAGTGCACCTGGTGTTGGTGTATTTATCTATAGTCGTAAATAGAAACCAACTAAAATATAGTCATCTCTTGGATACGGTATCTCCTGTGAACATCTCTGATTGGTACTGGGATCAGAGACACTT